CGGGCGCGGTGGCCGCCGCCGCTGCCCCCACTGTGGCCGCCGAAGGCGGGGAGCTGTCACCCAAGGAGGAGCTGCTGCTGCACCCGGAGGACGCCGAGGGCAAGGACGGCGAGGACAGCGTGTGCCTGTCTGCGGGCAGCGACTCCGAGGAGGGGCTGCTGAAAGCGCAAGCAGCGGCGCTACCGCACCACGTTCACCAGCTACCAGCTGGAGGAGCTGGAGCGGGCCTTTCAGAAGACGCACTACCCGGACGTCTTCACCAGGTACGCGCGCGGGGCGGGCCGGCGGGTTCCGGAAAAGAGAGGCGGGCGGGAACCCCCCCCCCCCCCCCGCCCCGGCCCCCGCCCCGAGCTCTGGGCAAGGACTTCGCTCCTGGACTCGACCCAGGCGCCATCCCAACGCACCCACCCCTGCTCACCGGGAACTCCCCACCTCCTCTCCCCAAGCCCTACTCCGGACTTTTAAGTTCAGGCTGGGACGATTTCTTTCCTTCCCAAGGAGGGTCTATCCAGTTTAATTTTTTTTCCCCCAAGTCCAAGTTTTAGAGAGAAAGAAAAGCCCTCTCCAAAGGGCGCCGGAACCTGCCACCTTGGAGAGGCGAGTTCCCTGCGCGCAGAACGCGGCGGCCCGGGGCGCAGCGGCCCGGCCGGGTTGCAGGCGAGGCGCGGGAAGCTCGGCCGCTGCCGGTCCCCGAGGCAAAGCAGGGGCTATTTTTGGTCGCTGTGTGGGCGCTAGCTACCCCCCAGCCTGATGCCCCAGGAGCCGGGTGGGTATCAGTTACGCTGTTCGCAGTGAAGCTGGAGACCGCGCCTGCGGAGGCCTTTAAAAAAAACACCCAAGTTGTGTGGTGTGAGGACTCCTGACAGAACTGAAGGAAGTCAGAACGGAGCACCGTTTGCTCTGTGCGCACGGGGGTGCCTGTAGAACGCTCTCCTCTCTACCCCATCACATTAGCCTGGCATGCGTTTAATGTACACGGGTTTACCGCGTGGGCAATACTTGCTGGAGGCCTGGCCAGCCTTAGGTGGAACAGCTGGGGGGATTTTTCTGTTTGATGGGTGGCCAACCCAACCCGGGTGTTGCGCATGGTTCCGCTCCTCTCCAAGCCCACCCGAGTGTGCGTGTGCCTGTGTGTGCGCGCGTGTGCGTGTGCGTGTGTGTGTGTGTGTGTTTTGGAAAAAAGCCTGTGAGATTACTTGGGCCCCTGGCCCCCATTTCTTCATCTGACCTGGGGTGCCAGCCCAGCTGGGGGCCTTCCTCTCCCCCCCTAAGGCCAAGGTCTCGGGCTCAGGCGAGGAGCCAGGGCGAGGGCAAACTTCTCCAGCGGGGAGGGAGGAAGAGAGGAGCCTGCCTGCCGCGGGGCTCCTTAAGCTCGGGCAGCTCTTTCGCAGGAGACGTGTGCGGCTTTTCAATGTGCATTTTGGAAGCGGAAAGCTGCCCGCCCCTTTGAAGCGAGGGAGAAATTGCTGCTTAGGCCAAGTCTGAAGTGCAGTTGCTCTGGCAATTAATTGCCAAACGCTCTCCTAACCCGAAACAGGGGGGAAAAATGGATTGGATGCTGGGCAAAGGTATGAGATTTGGTCATCTCTTGAGCTAAACTTGGTCCTGCCCTATGTCATCCAGGCCTGCACTGTTATTAAATATATATACCAGTGTGTGCTGTCAAAAGGCTAAGGAGCGGACGGCTTTTTGCATTTATCACACGTGGATTTCACAAGAAGAAATTGATGTGGTGTCAGTTGGCATCCCGGTCTGCCCTCCTTTAGCTTCTCCAAGGGGAACCAGAGCCGGAGATGGGGGGCAGCTCCTCACCACCACCCCACTTCTACCTCTTTTGGATCCAGCGGTTAGTTAGAGCTTTTGGGTTCCTGCTGGGCACCAGCCAGGAGTGTGATTTGAATTTGCTGGTGCTCCCCGAAGCAGGGGGCTGCCAGAAGCGCTCAGGGAACCGGCTTTCTCCGGGTCCTGAAGTTTTGGGTGTGGACTGGGGGCCTGCCAGTGCAACCCGGGTCTCTGCTGGGGCAGCCCCCGCTCTTTCGTATTAGCTATCGGGGAGCCAATTATTCTGGGCGCGCTCATATTTTCGGTAAACAGGTCTTAAGCCTTTTTACAGCATCTTAATGGTTTCCTATTTGCCTTAATTGTCGCAGTAATAACTGCAATGACGGGGTAGGGTTTCAGTTAAATTGACTTCCCCTGAGATGGGCAGGGTTTGTAGTGGGCACTGGAGTCAGGAGGTGCGCAGAATTTTGTTTAATCGAAAAATTATCCCACTGAACTCTTAATAAGCTTAACATATCTCCAGAGGGTAATGGGGAGTATGACCTATGGGGGGGAGGGAGGGAGGGAGGAAGGGGGAGAAAGATGGAGGGAAAGGCATAGAGGTGGAGAGAGAGAGAGAGAGAGAGAGAGAGAGAGAGAGACCAAAAAAATTTTTTTAAGAGGGCATAAACATTTTTAAAAAATGAGTGCCGAAGTTTCTACCATTTGCTATTAGGACAAAACAGGATATAAGCACCGAGTGTGTGTGTGTGTGTTGTCTAACTCTGTCTTAAGAGACAGTGAGAGAGAATCTGAGTGCCCAGTTCTCTAGACTTACAGACTCAGGAAGCCACCCTTGTCACTCTTGAATGTAATATGATATAATATATAATATCCCACGTCTGGCAATGCTGTTGCATTTTTAATGTTTTCAATCAAACAGTA